CGCATACCCCTTTCACAAATGCAGCACTGCACACTCACCGGTGGCTTGCATGGCCCAGTTTCCAGTGGGCCATAGCCTGGCATCGGGCCGTGGATCAGGGGCTGGGGATGTTACGTTGGCTGGGAACCATCCCTCCAAATCAAATAGGGGTGGAACTGAATGGTGAAGACCACATCTGACCACACCTTCCGTTTCCTCCAAACGCAGCTCTTGCCAGCCACCCCAGCCAATACATTTGTGGTTTTGTGTTTTTTTTTTTCAATCAAAAACAAACCAACAAACCAATAAACCCACTTGACTTACACATCAGCTTCATCCCAGACAATGCAGGTTTGATTGGTGGTTCCCTGATTGGAGAGAAAAGGAGATAAATAATAACTCAGAGTGCAATTCACAGAGTGATGCTCGTATCAATCATGCAGTCCTTTAATCCATGTTTGTGGATGTGTGTGTGTGTGTGTGTGTGTGTGTGTGTGTGTGTGTGTGTCCCAACTTGCCTAAAAAGCCTATATTTTGACATCTCCTCCTGACAAATTTCTAAATGACAAGATGGGATCTGTCGTTTTCTATGCCAGGGGAAGCACAGTTAGGAGTCAAGGTTGGTGGTAGGTAAGATTGGATGAAAAAAAGTAGACATTATTTATGGATTCCAGACCACCATAAAGACTGTGGCTTCCTCCTGATTTTAAAAAAAGTATTTATCCAGCATAGGCAAATGGAAAACGTGCAGTAGGTGTTTACTTGAAATCAGCACTGTTGGAGAGAGACCTGGGAAGCCATAAAAGATAATATTTGTAGATCGTTGTTGGGCTCCTTTTTGCTCTCTGAGCTCAATTGTTTTCTTGTAGATGTTTCATGACTCAAGTAGGTAACATCCTCAGTGCTAGAAGGGAGTGGGGTTTGCAGAGAAGAGGAGGAGGAGGAGGAGAAAGAGGAAGAAGAAGAGGAAGAGGAGGAGGAGGAGGACTGTGAGGTCCTTGGTGCTTTCTGAGCTGGGTTGTTTTCTTGCAGATGTTTCATGAGCCAACTAGGTAACATCCTCAGTGCTAGAAGGGAGTGGGGTTTGCAAAGAGGAGGAGGAGGAGGAGAAAGAGGAAGAAGAAGAGGAAGAGAAGGAGGAGGAGGAGGACTGTGCGGTCCTTGGTGCTCTCTGAGCTGGGTTGTTTTCTTGCAGATGTTTCATGAGCCAACTAGGTAACATCCTCAGTGCTAGAAGGAAGTGGGGTTTGCAAAGAGGAGGAGGAGGAAGAGGAGGACTATGGGGTCCTTGATGCTCTTTCAGCTTGTTTTCTTGCAGATCTTTCATTATCTAGCCAGATAACATCATCAGTGATAAAAGAGAGTGGGTTTGAAAAAAAGGAGGAGGAGGATCTTGGTACGCTCCGAGCTTGGCTGTTTTCTTGCAGACATTTCATTCACCCAACTAGGTAGCATCATCAATACACTTAGTGCACATCGCTAGATAACGAGACATCTGCAAGGAAACAACCAAGCTCAGAGAGAACCAAGGACCTCAGAGCTGGGAAGCCTGAGACAAGTTGTTACCTTTCTTCTCATGTTTCTTTCTGGGGAGAGGGCACTGAAAAAGGAGCATTGAAGGGAGGTCTCAAGAAGTCCCATAGAGGTGGAGGACTTTGTCTCTGTGCCAACAGCAGAAGAAGAGACTCAAAGTTGATGCAGAGATGAAAAGAAAGATCTCCGTCTGGAAAGAACATCCACACACTTGTCTTGGACACATTCAAGATGTGGTTGATGGACCCTTGCTTCTTGAAGACTAGTGTTTAAAATCTCCAGGAAGCCCAGGATCAGGGTCCCTATAACCAGGAATATCTCCGGGTAGTGAGGAGCAAATAACACAGACTTTGTAATTTGCTAGCTAACATCTACACTTTGTATTTTAACTTCATGTTGTGGCTCACCAGCGGACAGCAGAGCTGGCAGCGGATTCAGACAGTGAGGAGATTGGGGAGGTACATGGGCCAGTCCCGGAGTCTGGAGAAATCAGTGCTCTGCATCGGAGGCAGAGATGGGGCCAGGGCCATCTGACAGTTATCAGCTGCCTTCTGAGTCGGACATCAGTGAGGCAGAAGAACATCTGGAGCCTGTTCCCAGTGTGCACATGTGCAGAGCTGCCAGAAGAAGGGAACAGCTAAGGAACAGGGGTCGACTTGGGATTAAAGCCACAGGTGGATGGCGAATGGCTCCTCCCAAAGGGAATAAAAGAGGAGCGAAAGGGGAGCGCAGCTTTGCAGGAGACCATTAGTTCATTTGGGTGAACATCGGTTCCTGCATTCTTGCCAAGTATTGTCTGCTACGCTGTGGCCTCTGAAAGATATTGGCCTGGCAACTTTCCCGATAAAGCCTGATAAAGGTCTGAAATTGTGAGATATCTTAAAAAGACTGTTAGCCAGGATTTTGCTGGAGAGGAATTCACTGTAAACTAAATAAAAGTAGTTTATCGGGATGAGGTGTTGGCTTTGTGCTGTTGGGGCAGCCTAGGTCAGAATACCTTCCTTCTTCGTGCTCAGCAAAATTTTCAACCGAGAGGAAAATTCGTTCTAAGTTCTATTCCCACCCCAAACCGTTTCTAAGTGGTTCCAAGGCAGGAATGATGACTTACATTATACAAATGGGAGAATTCAATTTCCATCATGGCAACCAGGGATTGAGGTTCTGGCTTGACAGTCACGGAGATGATGCGTGAATTGAGTACTGTGGTATTCCTAGAGAGAAGGAAGAAAACAGATTAAACAGTGAAAGATGGAAGAGTATTCAGAGAGGTCAGCAGAAGAATAGTCATTTGAGTGATTCCTTCCAATAATTTATACCTCCTTTTCCCACATAATGGACAGATGTCAATTGAAAAGAAGGATTAGGGGATGACAGGGTTCCAATTGGTAAAAGATGTCACAAAGAAGAGAGAGTCAACTAGGGGTGGGACCGGTTCCGGCAAACCGGTAGTTCTGCTGATCAGTTGGCCCCGCCCACCTGCCTTTGCCCTAGTGTCAACTCATATTTATCCAGTCTTTTTAGAGTTGCTAACAGAAAGGGCGGTGGGGGACAGTGCAGGCGCTTGGAAAAGCGAAAGTGCATTCCATAAATATTTTTCAAAGATAGTAACTAGGTGACCGAAGTTTCTGGCACGCAAAATTCTAACTGGAGACCGTGATTGATGACTCTGGGCTATGGATTCTTCCCATTGGAGAATATGAATTATGATACACCCAGGGGGTAGGGGGGAAAACCAGGGTCAAGGGTGACAATGAATTATGCGTCTCAGAGTTGGCTACACCCAGGCAGCGCTGGACAGTTTAACTCCCAATAAATCCTTTTTAAGTTTTGGAAGTTTGGCTCGAGACTCGTGATTTAAATGGGGGTAACTGCCAGAATCCTGACATCTAGTCTATCCTTTATTTCCATGTTTTGCAGCCAAGCTGATTCATGCGGCACAGCAGATTGCCATGCCTCAGCTGTTTCAATCTGCAGCAGAAAGTAAGTTTTAGCTAAAAATGGCTGTTTTCAAAATGCTGTGCTCAGCGAACATGTTACACCGGTTGAATCCCATTGCTGGGGTCAACCCATTCTCCAAAGCATCTGAGGACAGGGCAAGTAGCAATGGATGGAAACCATTGCCCCAGAATGGTATTGAGCAGGAGATTTGGACTAGAGACTGGTCTATCTTTTGGGTTTCTTCCAGTCATTTGGGCCCAGATTGGGGGGCTTCCCCCTCCATCTAGCTAACAGAGCAGACACTAAGGGTGCTGTGAGCTTCCTCCATGGAGGTGCTGCCTGCTGCCTAGGCCAGGTAAGTCAGGAGACTGTGAGGCCCTGGGGAAGCGCTTTCCTCTGAAACAAAATGGCCACCCGGCAATTTCAAAATGGCCACCCGCCACATGGAGTGGCCCTGGGATGGTCTCACCACCTTCTTCACTCTTTAGGCTCTTACCAGGCCCCGAGCGATCAAATTAACCCGGAAGAGCAGAGAAGTGGCAGTAACGAAGCTCCAGAGTCAGTTGTAAAGTGGCTTGGCCAACGGCAGCAACAACAAAGTTGTGATTGGCGGGGCTGTGGGGAGGTTCCTCCTAACATTCCCTGGGTCTGCAGCCCTTGCATGGCAGCGCCGAAGCCTCGGCGGGGCAGGATAGCGGATCCCCACTCTCCTGGAGAAAGAGCGCTACCCTAGTTATTCTTATTCTGAAACGAATCAAAGAAAGAAGTAACCCAGGAGAAATTTGCTAGCACTGAGAATGATTAATTGGGGGAATGACTTGCCTCCAGAAGTTGTGGGGCTTCATCACTGCAGGTCACAACTTCGTAACTAACAACAACAACACTGGAGGCTTTTAAGAAAAGATGATCAAATAGGAAACATTATATCATTTCAGACAAATGGTTGTCCAATCTCCTCTTAAAATCTACCTGTGTTGGAAGACCTACAACTTTTGAAGGCAACTTCCGTTCCACTGATTAATTGTTCTCAGTGTCAGGAAATTTCTCCTTGGTTCTGTTGCTTCTCTCCTTGATTCGTTTCCATCCATTGCTTCATGTGTTTTGGAGAAGAAGTTGAATCCTTTTCCTCTGGGGTAGCCCTTCAAACATTGGAAGACTGCTATCATGTCATCCCTAACCCTCCTTTTTTCTAGACTAGCCTTACCCAATTCCGGCAATTATTCTTTATATGTTTTAGCCTCCAGTCCCCTAATTATCTTTGTTGTTCTTCTCTGCAACCTTTCTAGAATCTCAATATCTTTTTAAAATATCACGGCAACTAAAACTGAATGTTTTGGCGTGTGTTACAGTCCTGAAATTTATTACAGCTACTAAAAATCAGATCAAAATATCATAGTGCGCTGTTTACACTTTCCAAAATTGTATGCTTCAACCTGCTGATTTTTAAACTATGCCTACACATGCTGAGCAACAGTAGATAAAAAAACTTGCATATTATTATTATTATTATTTTAATACCATCACTCTTGTTTAATATCATCACTATCATTAATTTAAGATTATCCCTCTGGGCCTCTCTTGGAGACCATTAAGAAGAAGAAATCATGCTTATGAAATGCCTTATAAATTGGATTTCTCAAAGTCCCTCATAGCAAGCTTTATAAAAATCCTCAAAGATCGCGATTAGTAACCTGAAATCACATTTGTGTGCCTGGTTTTTAAAGAATTTCTTTAAAATATATATTTTTAAAAGAGAAAAAAAATGGAAATAAAGAATTATGCAAAGCTATAATATCAGTAAGTGAGAAAGAAGTTGTACAGATAAGCACTCGGTCTGTCATTGATGAAAAATTAACCATAAAAAACAAAATATATCATTTTTAGCAGTAAGGAAAAAGGACTCTAGTGATCTTTTTGAATGCCTGAACTGAGTGGGAAAGTCTCCACTATTTGGTTGTTTTAAAATATTGTTAAAGGGAGGAGGAAGAGGAGGAGGAGGAGGAGGAGGAGGTGGTAGAAGAGGAAGAGGAAGAGGAAGA